CTCTTATTTTCTTCCCAATGCATCATTGATCCCATTATATGATATCAGATAAAATAATATGACTATTGTATGATATATAAATGAATAACGATGATCGAATTGCAATTTTGTTTGTTAAAAACTAATTTTCGGCAGCGGCCATTTTGAAATTCAAAATGGAGGCCCTAGAAGTGAATAAAAAAACTGGCACCCATTTTTTCTTAATCAGTGAATTTTTTAGATATGTTTAGACATGTTTCCCAAGAATCTACCCAAAAAATTGACAAAGTTAAAAAATATGACATAAGACAACAGACTATTAGGGACATCTTAACTTTTTTGACTTCAAAAATTTGCTAAGCTGAGATTGGTAAATCCCGAGTGCAGCGTGCTTGTTAGACACGCGTGTCTTACAGGCCCTGTTCTGATCGGTCAATTGCAGGGCAGGGGTGGCACAAGCGGGTTAGGGGAAGGGTCTCCGTTCCCCATGGGGTGGGGAAAAAAACACAATTTGCTGGGGAGAAAAAAGTGTATTTTCTACATATTAGTAAAATCTAAATCGATTAAATAATTGAAACCCCTAAACTGTCTTGGGGGCTTCGCCTCCCCGGAACACTTTCGAGAGATTTTGAGCTACGTCGCCACGCCCCTCCCCCAACTTGGAGAGAAGACATCTCTCTTCCACTCCCTCTTCCCTTGGGCAAATTCTGGCGCCACCCCTATTGCAGGGTCACGAGTTGAAAGTCAATTCCTGTAGATCTGCATTGGTGGATCCAAAAATTCTAAATAAAGGAGGAGGGGGCCACTTGAGCCACACCATTTTTGGGACTGACTTAAGAAAATTTATGATTGTGGCACCTCCAGGTGGCCGGAAATGATACTCCCATTATATATATATTTTGTCTTTCGTAGGAGTCACCCACCTTTATTGTCACTCTTTTTTTTCACTATGTTTATTCAATTCTTTCATCGTTGATCTATATTACATTTCAAATAACATAAAGGTAACTAATATATACATGTACAGTACTTTGTCGAAATCAAAGCCTTATTTACAAAATATGTTTTTCCATGGTAAATTTTAAACAAAAAGAAAAAGAAAATAAAAAGAAGTGGAAATGCATTAAATTGTATAATAATTGAGTAGATCCAAATATAATCGATTTGTGAAACTTTTTTTTTTTGGTAATTCACAGTCAGTGTAAATGTTTTTATATATTTTAATTAATTGTTTTTATTTTAAGATTAAAATCCACTATGCACTGTATTTTTCCACATCTTTTCATCTTTGTACGATACCCAAATCATCTCTGATTCAGGCCTTACCTGTACTTTCTCTTTCAAATTAATTTCCCTTTTTTGTGTATCATTAATACTACTTTTTACATTCACAATTAAACTTAAAAATGGATATCTTAATAAATCTATAATGTTATGAGAGTTTAAAAATCTTAATATAAATTTTGATAGAAATAATAATAATTTTGTATCCAAATTTTGTTATAATTTACAATTCGTAATACAATATTATAGTATTTTCTTATATTTATGAGTTTGTTTTTACAGTTTTGATGTATATCAGTACAGAAATTCCTAACTGTCAATCAGCAAATTATGTATTCTTTTCTATTTCATTTTACCTATAACGTTGTCGATATATAAGTCACCTTTAATTCTGAACATAATGTGATGTTTAAAGGCATTACATAGATCAGTAGATCTTGATTGTTTTAATTCACACAGAATTTTTTTCTTTGTAAATGGTAAAAGCTGCAGCAGTGTAAATATAATCTACAATTACATTTTCTGTTCCAAGAACATGTTGCTTAAACGATATATCTTCTTGCCCAATACCTGTTAATGTATTCATCCAAAAGAGTTAGATAAACTTACAATTGAAAAGCACGTGGTTTTCATCTTCAACATTTTCTTTACACTTATAACATTTTTCAATATCTTTTAGGAATTCCATATATGTAATCTTTTGTTAGTAGGCAAAATCCTGTGTAAGAGCTTGTAAAAACTGGGCGAAGTTTTTGTCCTTCATTTTACATATTTTTTCCAATCAATATTATCATCAATGAAATAATCTTCCCATTGTGTTTGTATTGTTGGTGTAACAAAAACGTTTACTAAACATGCATACACATTTTCTTGTTTTAATATGTTCGAATTTTTTGTTGTTATTTATGTTACCTTCATAGTTCTGTGTTTTTGATTATATATTTCCATTGGTCTGGTATTGCCTTCATTATGCAAAGATATTCATTTTGCCAATTTAATTTGCGCCGTAATTTTAATAATAATTCGTCGGAACGTTTAGATGTATTGTTATTTACAAGATCCTAACGGACACTATATCACATATATAATCCAATGTTTGTATAACAATGACTTCTTATTTAGTTGGATTAAGTGATTACCCCACAATTGCATTTCCTCACAGGTTTGAATATCCTTTTGATTTATTTAGTTATATTTAATACAACCTTGCAATAAATTTTTATAAAACATTGACATATCATACTCAAAATTAATATTGTCTCACGCCATGTTAAAAATAACCTTTTTTGCCCATTATAATATCTTGATACAGTTTCTGTTTGGGAGGGGAAAGGACCGGCCTCTTCTTGTAAATCCGACACTGATCTGATTAATGAGCTTTCTTATCACATTTAATTATATTTTGCTGCAGATTGTGAGACAATTGATAAATAAAGCAGTGAAATATTATTAATTTCCGAAAGATTGGTTATTTTCCCAAACACAACAGGGTTTGCAGCAATGGGCAAGAAAATTAAAAACGTGAATACATCCATTGAAAAGGTAATGACGTAACGTTGGAGGACAGGGGACCAGATCTGTCGGTCTGGGAGGGGAGCAGTAGTGGTGGCTTCAGCAATTTTCCGACAGAGGATCCAATGAGGAAGAAAATTTCTCCCTCCAGAAAACCTGCTGCCTCCACAATGATTATACGTTTGTCTTATATCAGGGACGGGGGGAGTGGAGTAGGTGCGAAAGGCGACCGAAAGTGAAGCCAATCGAGGTAACACTACCCGCCAGGGGTCCGGGGGCATGGCCCACGAAAATTTGGTGTTCTAGAACCACTGAGGCGCTTTGGACGATCAATTTTCGTCTTTTTATTTTCTTCTTCCTTTTCTTTCTTTCTTTTTTTTTCTTTGCTTGCTTGCTTCCCAAAAAGCTCACCCCCTAAATCCGCCCCTGTATATTTCACTCGTAGATTCTGGTGGTGTATTTTATGAATTCTTTGAAAAAATGTCATTTATGCTCGGCTGGAACATCAAACAAGCCAAATAACTGCAGGCTGAGATGTCTTTCAGAAAACGAAGAGGTGAATATATTTGGTAACAGGTTTATTCAGAGGTAATTTATTTACTAAGCTGTCTGCCAAGTAGAAAAAGGTGTAAAAACAATGATATTTATTTCTTAATATTCAGTATTTTTTATCTAATATAATACATTTTGTAATTTTAAAATTATGTATGGATTTATTCTGAAATACAATTGAGCAATCAAATAGGTTGGCCAAGAAATAGTGTCAAAGAAGATGAAACTAAGTCGCAAATAATTATTATTATGATTACTATGAGCGTTATTATTTTTTTCAGTATATTAATTTTATATTTATTATTATTACTAATATTATTAATCAAAAGACATTTAACTATATAACTATAACACAAAATGTATTGACAAAAGACATCGAAGTTTTGGGTCCATCATGAAACCATTTTCGAGATCAAATGATTTTAAAAACTTAAAGGAAACACCAATGAGGTGCCGGGAAGTAATAAACACATCAACACTCTGTAAAGCTACGTGGTTTATTATTATCAGCTTCTCTGACTTTCCTATATACGCTACTATGGAATTGTGGATTCAGGCGATGATGTGGATTTTTCTGGAGTGTCTACCAAACTTATAACAACCTACTAATCAGAACGTTGTATTTAATTGTTAGTATTTTAGTTTCGACGAGGAGATGTACGTCTGTGTCTTAAACTGACTGATCAAGTCATCTTTGTTCAATTGAAACTCTTTTGCGAGAGGGCGCTTTTCATCGAAGATTTTTTTCGATTTTTACGATTTTTTATTCATTTATTTATTTTTTTGGTGTGTTTTTATACTAATTTCTATTTTGTTATTCATTTGTATATACTCTCTATTAGTGTGTACTGTACACAATGCTTGATATTGAATTGTTGAAAAAAAATAGTAATTTTACATTTATGTTTATAAGTGTACATATGCCTGTGTGCAAATTGATTTATATAAGGATATATCTGCTCTATAGATTATAACCATTATGATCATCTTTACAAATACTCTAATTATAAATGTATTTAAAATAGCTTTTGCATATGTAAGCATTGTATAAATACGAAAAACAACGAAAAACGGAGAATAAATGTGGGTTGCACTCACCAAAGGAAAAAAGAACTTTTCGATATGGGAATCTTCCGTTCATATGCTAGTTGTAATTTACTTAAAATAATTTTAAATATTAATTTGTAAACAAAATAATTTTATATTGATTTTTGTTCCTTTTTTCAACCTTGTAAATATAACATCTTGTTATTATCAAATGATTTTTCAGACGCTTAGTTATATAATTTTTACCTGACTATTCAGCCAGTTAATCTTGGCATCAGAAAGCCACTCTGATTTCTTACGATTTTGGCATATTGATTTTACAAAAGTTGTTGTTTACTAGAGTAAATAAATAATAGTTAAACAAAGAACTTAGAATAAAGAAGCATGCATTTCCGAGAACTATGAAGCATTTTTCTTCTAAAGATCCCTCTATATCACATGATTACCCATGCAAAGAATAATAACAATAAAAGCTTTGGTCCCATGTGATACCTATACGGATGATATTTACGGTAACATAACAATATCATTGGATATTGATTATACATTGCGTTCAGTGACGTGAATCAAATTCAATAATATTCCAGCTATGTTTGTTCTTTGCCTCTATTGCAAAAAATATATATCAGTAGGCACTGATAGGTTTGTGTTCATTCGTTATCCTGTGTACAATTCATAGGTAGCTGTAGTCACTATGGAAGAGAGCACCAAAACGATGGATGGATTCCTTGGTTCAGTCATTGAAGTGTATACTTTTCAACGTCTACCACAATTAGCTTATACTCAAGTTGACCAACAAATATCTGAAGTTACTAGATTTAAGGAGGAAACCGACCACGATTATTTGGTGGGAAGTTGTGGTGAAGGAATGAGCAGCCACAGTGATCTAGACATTATGATAGTGATGTCAACATTTCCAGTTGTTTTGTGGCCATCTCAAACAAATAAAGAACACAAAAACGGGAATTTTTTAATTGCTGAGCAGATTCCAGAGGAACCAGCGTATATGAAGCTTAGGGTAGCTGACAGATCGTGTATACATGAGAAATACAGAAGTACAATTAATAAGAATGGGTATTTTCAGTCCACCAGTTTCATTACAAGTGTTAAGTGTAGCAATAGTGGATATGTTAACGATATTCCAGATCCAGAGGGTCTTAGGCCTAATTTCAAGATACAAGGTCCCGCAATACAAGGTGCAATAAAGTTGATTCCGTGTTTAGATAATGTTTATTGCTTGAAATGTCAATCATGGCCGTCTTCTATCAGTTATAAATATTTTAACAGAAACAGACAGAACAAGTGGCCACCACAGAGGTTGTTAGACAAGATCTCACATTTAGACTGTCATGTAGTCCCCGTTGGACATCCCAGTAGCGCTTCAAAAGAGATTGAATGGAGATTGTCATTTTCCTTAGCTGAGAAAGAACTACTTCAGAGAATGAGTAAGCCGTTCTTTAACTGTATGTATGCTTTGAAATCAGTAAAACAAAAGTACATCGTATACAGTGAATCTGACAAACCAACGCCATTCTGCTCGTATTTTATAAAGACCGCTTGTTTTTGGATGTGTGAGACTTTACCAGAAAAGGATTACAGCATCATGACTTTAATTAGAAGAGTATTGGATTGGCTTATTGATAGTTACAAAAACAGAAACCTACCTCATTATTTCATTTTGGAGCAAAATTTGATTGGACATCTATCAGTGGAACGTTGTGATGACGTAATAGCCAAATTGACAGCAGTTAAGAAAAATATATGGACTATGGTATTGACAAGTGTTGACAAATATCGCATTATAAATCAAGTGGAAGACCGCGATAGTAACCTTAGGATTCCGAGAGTCAGCGGAGATGACGACTATAAAACTGTGGTGTCCATTCTTTTGAATGACCCAAAGACAACAGAATCTCTTGAACAGTATTTTTCTAATAGACGTCGTGGTGATTCTTTTTTAGTGCAAGGTGAATGGGCAGGAAAGCGTTTTCGTAACACATTTATTCACCTTGACTTGCTAATAAAACAGAGAGCTTTCTCAGAAATGCTTAGATGTCCAGAAGAAATCATAATTCCTATTGTAGACAACATTAACGAGATAGTGCCGGAGGGATATGGAGACATTTTCAAAACGCGTTTGTATAGACTTCTGGGTGATATGTACACTTATCTATTGATTTACTTACGAAAAATTGATTATCATGATTATCCAGCTATCTATCAGAATAAACCCTTACACTACTATACATTAGGTGCTGAAATGATGTACCTAGACGAATGGTCGGACAGATGCATAGGTGGTCGAGCCCATAAAGTACAATATCATTATTTAATGGGTAATTATAAAACATTGAAAGAGACTGTAGACTGGAAATCCGAATTGAGTAAACTTAAAGAAAATGACATTTTTATGAACACAATCTGTAAAATAAACATACATATAGATTCAATCATAGTAAAAAGTGCGTGGAGTATTGATGAAAATCTGCAGCAATGTCTTAAACGTACTTCTGGAGCAGTAGCAGTGCATCCAATCGTATTTATCTTTGTAATGGCCAAATTGCATCTTAGAGAGGGAGAACTAGAGAAGGCCTCCGCGATTGTGCAAGAAATGAACGGTTGCTTTAAGATTATTAGGCACCTCGCATTACGTAATACTACAACGTCAATGACCGAATTGATAGAAATTGAAATACTAGAGTTAAGAAGAATGTTATACTGTCCGAATGTATTAACACCACTTGAGAGACCTGCCCTTGTTCATGCCTTATATTCACCGACACAGTGACTGCGAATATGAATATTAAGCCTACATCTCTGTAAAGCAATATTGGAGGTCACTATGATTGTTTGTGAATGGTTTAGAGCTAACAGATTGTCATTGAATTACAAAATGTAAACCCTTAATTTACATCAACACTATACCCAATTTTTAACATGTTCAACAAAAGAAGAACACTAAAATGAGGCTAAATTCACTTTGATCATAATCATATGTGGTTAATTGACACGAAATGATCCAAATGCTGGATTCATGAACTCTACACTCATTATTCAAGAAGTACTTTTATATCATATAAGCATGCTAGTATAATCAGTAGTGTAGTCAAGAGGGGAGGATTCAGTGGCGTCGCCAAGAGGGGCCAGGCCCCCCAGATTTTGGCCTGTCCCCCACTGCCCCCCTGAGGTGGCTAATGAGGTTCATTGACATTTTTACATGTTGATGATTGCTCGAATTTAGCTCAACCAGTTCGTAGTTTTCACTTGCAGAACTATGGGCGACTTCCATTAAACCGAGAAATGTTCGCTTCGCTGTTGTTCTTCTAAAATCATTCAAAATGGATTTTTAATTTATATTATGTAGTTTTAGTTTACAGTACAGGGTAAGGCCTATACATTTTGGCAATCACAGGCATTTATACAAATTCACAGTATTCTCTACTTGTTGCAACAACGGTTATTTATGTTTCTAAAATTTAATTATAATTCGTATGAAGCTACAAAATACAAAAGTTTCATCATGGTTTATAATGAATAACTGCTATCAAACAATATGATGTTCATTTTGATTCTTTAATTCCATAAAATTTCGCTAAATTTATACATTATCATTTGAGAGCAAACGGGCTGAGTTCACATAATATAACCATTTATATAGCCATATTGTAAAATTGTTTGGATCCTCACCGGGGGGGGGGGGGGAGGGGGGGGGGGGGGGGGGTTCGTGGCTCCCTGACCCCAGCATTTGGTTCAACATAATATCACGGACCCTCACTGCACCCCCCCCCACCACAGAAATATTCTGGCTACTCCACTGAGTATAGTAATTAAAACATAAAATAAGGTAAATTTGTCCGTCACAATTCAGACAAGTACGTCTGTCACTACATAATTGCACGTCCGTCACAGTAATTTTATTATTTTTCTATTTTCATAGAGAAAATTAATACATTCAAGTTTAATTTATATTCTGCTAAAAAGCTCAAACATTAGTGTAAAATATATGGGAAGATTTTGGGTTTTTTTTAAATATTTTGAGTGCAGTTGAATCCTTCTAATCCCAGGGTACTGGGTTCAATTCCTATCACAGCAGGACTTTGCCTCATGACTTTACACAAACTATACTCCCTAAGTCTCATAAAGCTAACGATTCTTGATTCTATTTCTTCTGTTTACTAACTGTGTTTCAATATTGATCGGAACGCAATAAAACATGAAACCCGACAATTCTTACACAATGGCAGCTGTTGCTAGGTAATAATGATAATGTGGGTAAACAAAACATACATTGGCGATCGATCGTTGTTATGCACGATAAATGAATAGACGACCAACCAAAATAGCTTGATTAGCTATACAACGACGAATGCAGTTAAAATTCACAGTAATAATAATGTATATGAAAATACATAGAGATACAGTACATGGTCATTCTCTGCAATGTAAATTAACAAATAAAAATGTTTGTGTGGCTATGATACAGTAGAGATAACTCTAAATCTTTTTGCTGTAATGCTGTAAATATATTAATACAGTTCGCCCTTCAATTCAAGACCAATTCGGGACCTGAACATTTAAAGTGGCCTCGGCATTCATTCGGTGTCCAATTAGAGGGTTACCTTTGTGTAAAAGGATTATACACATCTAGATGTGTATAAGAGACAGTATATATATATAGTGGCCTTGTTTTTAAAAAATGTATTTATCGCTAAATAATAATAATAATAATCATAATAATCATAATAATGATGAAAATGGTAATAATGATGATGATGATGATAATAATAATGATAATGATAATGATAATAATAATAAATAATAATAATAATAATATATAGCGATTTTTGCCTATATAAGCCTTTGAAACCCGTATATTGTGAAAATTTGAAACTCTGTTGCGAGAGGGCGCTTTTCATCGGAGTTATTCCAAGTTTTAAGGTTTATTTATTTATTTGTGTGTGTTTGTGTTTAAAGTTCAATTTTGTTACTTATTTGGATTTTACTCTATTAGAGTGTACTGTACACAATGTTTGATAGTGAATTGTTGAAAAAAATATAGTAATTTTTATTCATTTTTATAAGTGTACATTTGCCTATGTGCAAATTGATTTATATAAAGATAATATATATCTGCTGTATAGATTGTAATCATTGTGATCATCTTTATCAATACTGTAATTATAAATCTATTTGAAATAGCTTTTGCATATGTAAGCATTGTATAAATACGAAAAACAACGGGAAAAAGGGAGAATAAAGGTGGGTGCACTCACGAAAGGAAAAAAAAATACACTTTCCGATATGGGAACCATACGTTGATATGCGAGTTGAAATTTACTTAACATTTAAATTTTAAATACTAATTTATAAAACAAAATAATTTATATTGACATATTGTTCCTTTTTTCAACCTTGTAAGTATAACATCTTTTTAATGCTTTTTCAGACGCTTAGTTATATACTAGAATGCAATTTTTACCTGACTGTTTAGCAAGGTATAATCTTGGCATCAGAAAACCACTCTGTGATTTCTTACGCTTTTGGTGTATTGTTTTTACAAAAGTTGTTGTTTACTAGAATAAATAAATAATATTTAAACAAAGAACTGAGAATGGAGAAGCGTTCATTTCCGGGGACCTATGAAGCAATTTTCTTCTAAAGATCCCTCTATATCACATGATTACCCATGCAAAAAAATAATAACAATAAAAGCTTTGGTCTCATGTGATACCTATTACGGATGTTATTTGCGGTAACATAACAATACTGTTGGATTGATTATACACTGTGTTCAGTGACGTGAATCAAATTGTATAAATACTTCAGGCATGTTTGTTCTTTCCTCTGTATTGCAGTAGGTGCACTGATAGGTTTGTATTCGTTTGTTATCCTGTGTACAATATTATTAGACACCTGTTTAGTCACCATGGAAGAGAACACCATAACGATGGACGAATTCCTTAGTTCAGTCATTGGAATATTTACAAGTGAACGCCTACCTCAAATAGCTTATACCCAAGTTGACCAACACATAAGTAAAGTTACTAGATATAAGGAGCAAACGCAACACAATTATATGGTGGGAAGTTCTGCTGAAGGAATGAACAACAACAGTGATATTGACGTTATGGTGGTGATGTCAATATTCCCAGTTGTTTTGTGGCCATCTCAAACAAAAGGAGAAAATAAAAACGGGAATTTTGTATTTGCTGAGCAGAATCCAGTGGAACCAGCGTATCTGAAGCTCAGGGTAGTTGACCAATCGTGTACACATGAGAAATACAGAAGTACAATTGATAAGAATGGGTATTTTCAGTCCACCAGTTTCATTACAAGTGTTAAGTGTAGCAATAGTGGATATATTAGCGATAGCCCAAATCCAGAGGGTCTTAGGCCTAATTTCAAGATACAAGGTCCCTCGATACAAGGTGCAGTAAAGTTGATGAAGAGTTTAGATAATGTCTATTGCTTGAAATGTCAATCATGGCCGTCGTCTATCAGTTGTGAATATTTCAATAGAGAGAGACAGAACAAGTGGCCACCACAGAAGTTGTTAGATAAGATCTCACATTTAGATTGTCATGTAGTCCCCGTTGGACATCCCAGTAGCGCTTCGAAAGACATTGAATGGAGATTGTCATTTTCCTTAGCTGAGAAAGAACTAATTCAGAGAATGAGTAAGCAGTTCTTTAACTGTATGTACGCTTTGAAATCAGTAAAACAAAAGTACATCGTATACAGTGAATCTGACAAACCAACGCCATTCTGCTCATATTTTATAAAGACTGCTTGTTTTTATATGTATGAGACTTTACCAAACCAAGATTACAGCATCATGACTTTAATTAGAAGAGTATTGGATTGGCTTATTGATAGTTACAAAAACAGAAACCTACCTCATTATTTCATTTCGGAGCAAAATTTGATTGGGCATCTATCAGTGGAACGTTGTGATGACGTAATAGCCAAATTGACAACAGTTAAGAGAAATATATGGACTATGGTGCTGACAAGTGTTGATGATAAATATCTCATTATAAATCAAGTGGTAGGCCTATGTAATAACCTTAAGATTCCGGGAGTCAGTGGAGATGACGACTATAAAAATGTGGTGTCCATTCTATTGAATAACCCAAAGACAACAGAGTTTCTTGACCAGTGTATTTCTAAAAGACGCCTTAGTGATTACATTTTAAAGCAAAATGCATGGGCAGAAACACGTTTTCATAGCACATTTATTCACCTTGACTTACTTATAAAACAGAGGGCTTTCTCAGAAATGCTTAGATGTCCAGAAGAAAAAATAATTCCTATTGTAGAAGATATTGACGAGATAGTGCCAGAGGGATATGGAGATATTTTCAAAACGCGTTTGTATAGACTTCTTGGTGATATGTACACCTATATATTGATTTACTTACGAAAAATTGGTTTTCATGATTATCCGACTTCTTACCAGAATAAACCCTTACAGTACTATACATTAGGTGCTAAAATGATGTACCTACACGAATGGTCGGACAGATGCATAGGTGGTCGAGCTCTAAAAGTACAATACCATTATTTAATGGGTAATTATAAGACATTGGAAAAGACTGTAGACTGGAAACCCGTATTGTGTAAACTTAAAGAAAATGAATTTTTAATGCACACAATTTGTAAAATAAACATAGATATAGAATCAATAATAGTACAAAGTGCTTGGGATATTGATAAAAAGCTGCAGCAATGTTTCGAACATACTTTTGGAGCAGTAGCAGTGCATCCAATCGTATTTATCTTTTATGTAATGGCCAAAGTTCATCTTAGAGAGGGAGAACTAGAGAAGGCCTCCGCGATTGTGCAAGAAATGAACGGTTGCCTTAAGAATATTACGCACCCCGTATTACTTGATACAACAACGTCAATGATTGAATTGATAGAAATTGAAATACTAGAGTTAAGGAGAATGTTATACTGTTCGAATGTATTAACACCACTTGAGAGACCCGCCCTTGTTCATACCTTATATTCACCAACACAGTGACTGCGAATATGAATATTACGCTTACATCTCTGTTAAGCAATATTGGATGTCACTATTATTGTTGATATGTGAATGGTTTAGATCTGATAGATTGTCATTGAATTACGAAAGTACACAAAGATTCTATAGAAACAAGTAAGCATAATACGTAAAATTAAAACCAAAGTTTCTAAATCATAGCTGTAATACGTACAGTTAAGGATTGTGTATCTTCAGTGTTCTTATAATTTGTATTGCTCATTTGTAGGCTTATTCAATTTTTAACATCATACATTTATTATATGATTTATAGTAATTCTGTTATTCATAAGTAATAATCCACGTGGTAGTTGGAACTACGTATACTGGTATCGAAGGTCAATCCTCATAAACATTTTAACACACACATTGTGTATGTCGATTGCCCTTCGATACGGGAATAAGCAGTTGAAACTACGAACTGGCTTATTTTACAAGGTTAGACTAAAGACATACATAGTGTAACAGTAGTCAGCGATTTTTTTCTTTAAAGTGTCACCAGCGATGAGAGGTGAATTATGCCAGAAGTTGATGGGAAATTATGCAACATTATGCCAAAATTAAGAAAACTGATAATAATAGATTAATTTTTTGATAAACAGATCCAAAACAGATATAGGTGAGAGAGGGGAATACTATCTTATAATTTCTTCCAATAAACAAGTCCTCCTCCTGTAAAACATCTTAATCAAAAGTTAAATTACTGACAACAACAAAAAAGAAGAAAAAGAAAAAATCAACTGTTATAACCCCAACAATTTTAGTTTATTGACAACCTCATCCCATGGTTAAGGCTGAGCTAAAAAAAACTAAATTGTTATGGCTCTAGCCTCGAGGTGGCCAGAAAGATGGCACTATTGTGGACATGAATGTGCATGCATTTTTTTCCCGATATTATTTTAAATTTTTCAAAATAGAGGGGATGATATAACTCGCTTGTCTAAAAAGCATAAACTGAAAGCTCATTTAAACATACAATATAAGCGATATTGGTCGCGAATCATGCCTCGAGTTGCTTATTGGGTCATAGGTTAAAAGGTTTCCCAACGCTGCATTAAAACACTTATTATGAACGGTTGTCTTATAAACTATGATTTCTGTATCAACAAGTAAATTACAATGGCCTGATCAACATGCCTAAAATTGCAAGTTATAATCCACTATTGTCAATACTATAAAGGTTATTGACGAAACACCGATGGAACAAAAAGAACTTGTAGAATCGTGTCGCCGAATTCCGTCTCGCTGTGTTTTGTTCAATTCACTGTGTCGTTACTTCAAAAGCCTTTGTATTTAATTCATAAATTTTGTTTAAGGCTTAACCACCACCTATATTTATAATCTTTCTTAAGTAAAACTATTAGTACAGTGTAGTGCTATTATGACAACAGTAGTACATTTTTTTTAATATGCTGCATGGAAAGGTTTATGATTAGCAATGACATGCATTACGAACGTATAGTCAATAAAGACCCCAAGCAAAGGAAAAATTAAGGAGAGGAGAGGCGTTATTTATTCCAAATAATTTTTTTAAAGTTTCCTTCATTAACTTGTGTTTTATTTATACCAGTTATTAAAATGTTTTGCTATTTTCATTGTATGTGTATAATTTTATAACAATAGTATAATTAATTATGGAATTAAACATAATACTAAACAATTTCTTTCTACCATGTCAAAGGCTTTCTTAAAGTCAAGGCAAATGATAGCTCCCTCAGTATTATACTGATTGCTATACTCAATTAAGTCACTAATTAGTCTTCATTGTCACCCATATGCCTGCTTTTTATGAAGCCTTTTTGATCGCTGTCGACAAGTTGACCTATAACGGTTTGCAATCTGTTTGAAGGAGAGAAGCAAGTATTTTATAGCCTGTGTTTAGTAAACTAATTAGACGCCAATTATAGGATATCTTGATCCCTCCTTTTTATATAATAAAGTAATTATGCCCTTCTTCTGTGTACGAGATAACTCACCACATTCATATGTTTCATTAATTACCTGACATACAATTGGTTCTATTTCTTTCAAAAATTGTCTAAAAAAATTTTTTTTTTTTAAATGTAAAAAAAATAAATAAATTAAATTCTACATTTAGACCATCAGGCCCCGGAGACTTATTTTGTTTTTTATATTAAAAATTGCATGTTTACATTCTTCCATTGACACTTTAAACCAAGCATCACATTTTGTTCTTCATTAAGAATTGGTAAGTCTATGTCAATGAGGTAATTGTCAATTGTATCTTGTATATTCTTACAGGTGTATAATTCTTTGTAAAATTTTACTTTTTCAATTATTATTTCTTTAATTTCCGTAGTTATACTACCATTTCTTAAAACTTTTTTATGCGTTTCTTCATTGCTTTTTCTTTTTCGAGGCCAAGAAAATATCTTGTGTTTTTCTCTCCCTTTTCTAACGTTTGTGTAGATAAGCTCAAGTTCTTCTTGCATTTCTTTCTAATTTTAATGAGATTTCGTTTGTCTACAAAGTTATTTATATTATCATTAAGTACTTGTTTGTGTGTTTTTGCTTTACTTTTTTTTAAATTTTCCATAATTTATACAAAATTCTCTAATTTATATTTTACATAGATTCCATATTTCTCTCCAGGCCAACGATTTTTTGTTTTGTGCTGAGTCATTAATAATTTGTCTTATGTGTTCAGTAAACGTTTCATCATCAGTTAGATTAGAATTAAACTTCCACACCCCTGGTCCCTTTGAGTCTGTTATAACTAGTTTTAACTAGTTTTAACTAGTTTTAACTAGTTTGTTATAACTAGTTTTAACTAGTTTTAACTAGTTTTAACTAGTTTGTTATAACTAGTTTTAAGGAGCATTTTGATTGACACTCTGGAGAGGTACATTGTACAAAGGGCACCTCTAGATGCCCGGGCATAGCTCATTCATACTTTAAAAAAAACAAACTGATTTTAATTGCAAGTAATTAGAGCAAGCTGGACCCGATACGTTTGTGTGGTGATGACAGTTCTGTTTTATTCCTCTATGGCTTGGCCGACTTTAAACCCATATTGTAATTTTCTCTTTATGTCTATAAATTTTAAAGAGATAATTAATTCTTAAATATTTTAGGGCTTTTTGTATATTTTTATATCTTTTCTATTGTGTACAATATTCATGTTAACGTTTTCTCATCTTTTAGGGTCAGCTGACTCTTTTGAGTTACAGTAATTTATACTTTAGCTGTCCCTGACTATCGTTTTGAGTTTTGTTGTTGTGTATTTTGGATATTTATATGGTCGAATAAATAAATGAGAAATGGGAAAAGTAATATAAGAAAAAAAATATGGTACGTCCGGCTATAGCCGGTGCGGTTCCTACGATCCTGTGTAACATCATAGAGAAAATAGAACAGTTCTATAGAACAGTTCTATTTTTGTACGGCTAGAAACAAGTAAGTGCATATAACATAAATCAAGGTAGCCGTTAACACTGTTAAATCATATATAAATCATCAAAGAAAGGTAAATACAGTGATATATGATTTAACAGTGTTAACGGCTACCTTCATTTATGTTATATGCACTTATTATATATGATTTAACAGATAACCACTCAACGGTGTTTATGGCTCATCTATTTTACTTGTATTTTGTTTATAAAAAAAGTTTGAATTTGTAAGAAGTTAATTTGAGTTATTGCTAGTTCATTCTATTGTGCTCCATGCACGTTTACTCTGCATGACAATGCTAGAGGAAAAGGAGTTACCTGACATAATAAATAATAGGCCTGGGTACAATAGAAAAGGTAGATCAATTCCTGCATTTAATGTGAAATATGCTTAAACCAGATTATTATAATAATTATAATCTATGACCTTGTAGGTGCTCTTCTTTTTCCACATTTTCCATAATTCTAATATCTAATAAAAGTGATTGTAATATTATACAATTTTAAATTAATTTACGTTGTTATATTTGAATCCCATTGGCACATCATGACTATATATGGGCATACAACCGTTTTTGTCAAGGAAAATGTGATAATCTGGACAGTGGTTTATAGTACCGGGTACTCTTTTTATAGTTTGTCTCTCACTGCCTATTACGTCCAACTTATCCATTTAAACCCCATGTTATGAAAAATTTGAATGTTAAATAACATACAAATTATTAAGAATATCCAGATTTTTTATACCATAATATGATTTCAACAAACCAAAATCAATCCATTCCTGTGACTGGAAGTGTTTCTCTATTTCTTTTTTGCTTTAACATTGTGGGTAAACAGTAATTTCTCATTCAAGTTGATACATTTTATGCCACTTGTAAATGAGAAAATATATTTAAAAATGAGTTTATCTATTTTTTCCATGTGACAATTCATCTTAAATTGTAGATTGGTAGTTAAGTTGCTTGCCTTGCCTTCCAAACCCAGGTTAAATTGACATTTTTATTTTGCACTCCCCATCACATGAAATTGGTAATAAAATAGGTCGGAAAAAATATGCCAATTTTTAATACTCCGATCGGAGGTCGACAGTCTCTGCAATATTTTAACACCTAGACCTTAAACTACGACTTTCTTAGAACGCTAGACTTTACAGGGTCTTCTACAGATCATAAATTTGTTAATTTTTTGTTTCTACTAAATCAATATGTTGTTTGTGAAAAATTGGTATTACCATGGAACAGTGAAATTTCACCGTTCCCTGGTATTACTGACTGTTTCCTCCAAAACTGCTCATGCATGTCCATGCGCATGCCCAGAACGATCAATCTGGGATTTTCCCATAGATTTATTATAACTATATGAATTTTTCACACAAAGTGACTCACACCAAAAATACGCAGGCCATGTATGATGAGCGTACAGGTACATTATTTTCAAGAGGACCATTCCACTAAATTTATGATGATCCATTCATTACATTTTTTGTAATCTTGTTAACATAGAGACAGACGACGGTGGATATGTTGGATTTAATTATAATTCGTTCCAAAGGTAACAGGTGAGACTGATTACGGACGTTATTGGTGGAAACACAATAATACCATATGATTGATTATACAATGCGTTAAGTGATATGAACCAAATTGTATAGATATACAAGCCATGTTTGTACTTTGCATATCTGTTAGGCCAACAATCAAATAAGTCCGTGTTTATTCGTTGTCTTATGCACACTAGTTAAGGAGCTGCAATAACCATGGGAGAGAACACCAAAATGATGGATGAACTCGTTTGTGCAATCATTGAAGTGTATACAAGTGAAAGTTTAGCTCAAATAGCTTATTCTCGAGTTAACCAACACATAACTGAAAACATTAAATTAGGAGAGCAAAAGGTACACATTTATCATGTGGGAAGTTGTAATGAAGGAATGAATAACCCTGGTGATCTTGACCATATGCAAATGTTGTCAACTTTTCCTGTTGTGTTGTGGCCATCTGAAACAAAAGAAAAGCAAAACGGCAGTTACGTGATTGCTGAGCAGAATCCAGAGGAACCAGCGTTTCTGAAACTTAGGGCAGTTGACAGATCTTGTATACACGAGGATTTTAGAAATGCAATTGATAAAAATGGGTATTTGAGATCCACCAGCTTCATTACAAGTATGAAGTTTAGCGATAATGAACTTATTAGCGATATAACAGATATGGACCTTAGTAATTTCAAGATACAAGGTCCCGCACTACAAGGTGCAGGGAACTTTAATATGTTGAGTTATGATAAGGTCTACTGCTTGAAATGTCAATCATGGCCGTCGTCTATCTCTTGTGAATATTTTTATAGAAAGAGACTAAACAAGTGGCCATCTCAAAAGTTGTTAAACAAGATCTTGCATCTAGATTGTCTTGTAGTCGCCGTTGGACCTCCGAGTAGCGCTTCAAAAGACATTGAATGGAGATTGTCGTTTTCCTTAGCTGAGAAAGAACTCATTCAGAGAATGCGTAAGCCGTTCATTAACTGCATGTATGCTTTGAAATCAGTAAAAAAAAAGCACATCGTATACAGTGATTCTGACAAACCAACGCCATTTTGCTCGTATTTCATAAAAACCGCTTGTTTGTGGATGTGTGAAACTTTACTAAACCAAGATTACAGCATCATGAATCTAATTAGTAGAGTCCTGGATTGGCTTATTGATAGTTACAAAAACAGAAGCTTGCCTCATTATTTTATTCCAGAGCAAAATTTGATTGGTCATCTATCAGTGAAACGTTGTGATGACGTGAGAGCTAAATTGACAGCAGTTAAGAGAGATATCTGGACTATGGTGATGACAAGTATTGATGACGAATATCTCCTTATAAATCATGTAGTAGGCCTATGCAATAACCTTAATATTCCGAGAGTCAGCGAAGATGACGACTGTAAAACTATGGTGTCCATTCTTTTGAATCACCCAAAGGCAACACAATTTCTTGGAAAGTGTATTTCTAAAATACTCACTGGTGAAAACATACTAGGCCGAGTTCAAATCGAGCGATGCTCAATATGGGCAGGAATGAGGTTTTCAGACGCATTTTCTCAAATTGACATACTTATACATGAGAGGGCTTTCTCGGAAATTCTTACATCTCCAGAAGAAATCATTCTCCCTATTGTAGAAAGTATTGACGAGATAGTGCCGGAGGGATATGGAGACATGTTCAAGACGCGTTTGTATAGAATTTTAGGTGATATGTATATGTATATATTGATTTATTTGCGAAACATTGGTTATCATGATTATCCGGCTTTTTACCAGGATAAACCCTTACATTACTATACATTAGGGGCTAAAATGACGTATTTAAACAAATGGTCTGACAGATGCATAGGCGGTCGAGCTCTTAAAGTACAATATCATTACTTAATGGGTAATTTTAAAACCTTGAAAAAAATTGTAGACTGGAAACCCCTACTCAGTAAATTTAAAGAAAATGACTTTTTAATGAATTCAATTTGTAATTTAAACATATATATAGATTCAGTCATAGTATTAAGCGCCTGGGGCATTGATAAGAAGCTACAGCAACGTTTTAAACGTACTATTGGATCTAGACCAGTAAATCCAATCGTATTTGTCTTTTATGTGATGGCTAAAGTGCATCTTGGAGAGGGAGACCTGGAGAAGGCCTCTGCGATTGTGAACGAAATGGAGGGCTGCTTTGAGAAGATTCGACGAGGTCGCGTCGAGGTACTTGAATCAACAAAGTCATTGATTGAATTGATAGAAATTGAAATACTAGAGTTAAGAAGATTGTTATGCTTTTCGAATACATTAACACCACCCGCCCTTGTTTATACCTTATATCCAACAACACATGACTGCGAATATGAATATTAGGCGTACCGGTACATCATGATAGCAGCGTAGCCTAGTCGCCTAAACTGCTAGTAGTCACTGTGTGCTTGCTGAACCCTAGAGATCCCATCGCTGATTTCTGAAGAGCTGAAATGCAAGCAGGGGTGGTGCGAGGATTTGTTCGACGGTGTGTGTGTGTGGGGGGGGGGTAGGGTGGTAGGTAGGGAAGGGCGAGGTCCCTGACATGAGGCAAGTAGGCGTGGTCGAGCGTCGGCTAAATTTAAAAAAAAAGGGCTTCCATTTTCCTACCTCTACCCACACTGCCGTACACTGCTGAATGCAAGTAACGATAGCGCATCGACTTTCGGATGAGACGAAAATAAATAAATAACTTAACCGTAATTGGATTGAATATACAAATCTTAAAGGTTAAACTAATACTAACTTCAGCTGTTCATCTCATAACCAATAATAGAGGCCTACAGGCCCTCATTTGAGAGCGGAGTTAATCTGGAGTAAGGTCTACCTGACTTGATGCAACGTATAATAATCAGTGAAATTTTCTTTTTATCCCCCTCATCGGTTTCGTTATTATTGTTACTACAAACTACAAAACTGTTCTATTCGAGTTTAATACAAAATGATGTTTATTGTTATTTGGTAATATTTTTTGTTTTTTCCAAATTGTATTGTATATTGTTGTTTTAGGCAACCTTCTTGTTTTCATTGCATTTTATCCTTGCAGGACCATAATTATAAACAGCGGTTACGTACCATTTCTTCTGTAAATGTTATCCTGCTTAAATATGTTTAATAAATAAAGTAAATGAATAACTTAACCAATGGTTCATGGGTGGCGCCAGCGGGGGGCCGGGGGTGGGAGATAGTTGGGCCCCCGTCGGGGAAAAAAAGCACAATTCGTCGGGGAAAAAAATATTACATGTATTTTTTGACATATTAGTAGACTCTAAAATCGATTAAATAAGCCTTTGAAACCCCTAAATTGTCGAAATTTTCGGGGGCTTCGCCCCCCGAAGCTCGACCACACCCGCTTTGCTTTCGTTGGGGAGATCTGACACCTAGTCGGGGGCGTTGGCTCCCACCCCCCGTCGGGCAAATCCTGGCGCCACCCCTGCAATGGTTACAAGGTTGATTGGATTGAAAGTATTAATCGTAAAGATAAAACTAATACTAACAACTTGTGAATGTGTTATCGCCTTTTGAAAGAACCACCTATTGACTGGTTTAAAGAATGATTCAATGTTGTATTGTGTGTGAGGAGTGTATATGCTTCATTTTTTCTGACAAGCATTTGATGTGGTAGTCCCATGGTGCCTCGACTTTTTATAGATGTTTTCTGTTTCTCTTCCTTGTTTTAAACTTTTTTCTTCTTCTGTTATTTTACCTTTTTATACACCAATGTATATAAATAAATATAATATAAATTTATAACTTTGTTATTAAATTTAGTATTAAAAATGTATCGCGATCTTACGCGAATCACTTCAAAATGTGTGTAACAATTCTTTTATTATGTGTAGCGATTTGCGATGCGATACTGGCGAAATGATTCCCTGGATACAAACATATGACGTGAAGCAAGGTTTACGGAAAGACAGTAGAACAATAGCCTTAGTGCCGTATTCAATTGAATGGAATTTATTTGATTTCTCTCTATACAATACATAAAATACATGTCAAGCTAATATACAATGCATAGAATATATGTCAAGCTAATATACAAGAAGTCAAAATTGTCTCAATTCAGAGAAAAATATATAATAAAATATAATGCAATAAAATATTAAATATACTACAATAAAAATATAACAGGCCTATCAGAGATATGAAGCAAATATGTATGAAGAATATATATCAATATAAATCAGTAGATACGTATAAAAACATATATTCAAATCTACAGAGCAAAATAAATAGGCCTCACAACAAATACAATAAAATTGCATCAATATAAACGCAAGTTCCACAATAATTACGGTATATAAACATATTAAAATCCAAACCAGATGTAATCAAGTGTAAATTTGAAATCTTTAAAGCATTGAAACATGCATCTAGTCCAGAGGGAGCAATTTCTGCTTCAAGTTTTTTTTTTTTTTAAATAGTGTCGGATCCTTGACATAGAAAAACACCAACAATCTTGATATCGTCTTTGCTGTGATTGTGACTAAAATACGAGGCATAATACAGATAGATCTAAGATGTTCAGTAAAGTGGTCTGCCTTTGGTTTGGATTGGATTGCATTGGATTTATTCGGTGTAAACACCAAGGATAGCCCACGAAAGTCTAGAAGACGACCTATTACCAGTGGGGTCATTCTGGTGGTGATTGGACAGTACACCGGGAGACAATCCCCTACTCATTTACGAAGAATGTACTGCGTTCTTTAACGTGCACATTTGGCCATAGATGCACACGGTATATATATATTCAAGCTTTCCCATACGTTGTTATTGAGGATTTCCACCTTTAAATTCTCTTTTTTAAACTCAGAATTCTTCGTTTGGTTTACATCTGTTTGTTGTTTAGTGGTGTTTTGTACAAGTAAAGTGGAGTGAAACATCTGTGTTTTCCTATGTAGACTTGGAACTTACTGCTGAAAATATTGCCTCTCAAAGTGACTAAGATGAACTTGTTAAACAACAAATATAGATAGAGGAAGAACGAGCAGCTAGCGTATTTTTGCATTAATACAAAATTGCAACGGCTTTTACCGGAAGTGCGTCATATTATGCGAGTTGGGCCCTCTCGCGGCAGTGTGTGAACTCCTATGTTGATAATGATAATTATAGGTAATAAGGCGGGGGTGGGCTGCTTGCGATGCCATTTTCGACTTGCAGAGGACGGTCTTTTGTAAATATTATATTTATTAATCGAGTACGTAATTTCTATACCAGTATAATGAGTATATACTATTATTTTATTTTTTTTAATATTTATTTTTTGCACACTTCATAGTGTTATAATGAAGACGATTATATATATATATATTCCTATAAGACTATTTTTGCATCAATTGCCTGTTATGTCCTATTATCAAAGAATAGTCTTTGCTATTATCGAATAACATTACATAATCTGCTGTTGAATGAAATTTATTTCATAATAGCTTGTTTATATAATGTAGGCCCATATATTTATCAATAACGAATTTTCACTTGTATTTATAACATAAATAGCGGCATATCTCCTCATTTTCTCACCGTAGTTTCGTACATGATACTGTATGTATATTGAAATACATTCATACGGGAAGAAAACTAATACAGTACAGAACTGATCTAGGTGGATGCAGGTAGGGGGTACAGACGGTGATCACACCCTCTAAGTGTATTAAGAAAAATAATTTTTATTTTATTGTTGATATGAATTACCAGTAAGATTTTTCTGTGCTCGTTCTTCCTCTATCTAATGTATATTCTTTGGTTAAAGTTATCATTAAAAAAATGGAAGCAGACGCTTACGCATGCTTTGCAGGTAAAGAGAATCTGGGGTACCAAAAGGAGGCCTAGTACCAGTATAATTATTATAAGAGTTATGTGAGACCAACCTCAGAGTATGATGCGCATAACATTAGAATGGATTCAAAACGTGCTTGTAATAATTATTCTTGATACAGATTTTACAAATTACAAGGATGCTCTTATTGCATGTAAATGTGAACCATTGAGTCTTCGCAGACTAAAGATATCCGTTATGACCACTGATTCATCTAAATACTATGAGTTTAAGAAACCACAGAATATTTCAACAGCCTAGCTGTAAAGTATACTAATTTAGACCTAATCTCTAGAAGAATGCTGATTTTAACTGAGAAATGTGCCAATGCAACCAAATCATGTTCAGACCTAGCACCGTTTTCGATTTTTAATCGTGCGGGAAATTTACTGACGATCATGCTTAGATGTCTGTATTAAAAAGCATACCTAAATACATAAGAGCCTACAAGATAAAAAGGGACTGTCCCTCTGAATCATCACTGTTAACTCTTCAATTAAATGAGAGAGTATGTTGTTACTTCCTTGTTAGAATATTTTACACCCTTTATATCCATATTTAGCTATTAATATCCAATTATAATAGGCCAATACTTTAAATGCGCTATGATTTTACTTGGTTTGTGGACAGTAAACAGATCATAGACAAAACAGAACTACAGTATTTATTAACTTACATTATGCCACACAATAATATTAAACTACTTTTGATTTTACAAGTTTTGATAAATTGTCCACATTCCAGAAAGCACATCTGACATTAACTATTTTATTTAGGCTTGATTTGATTTTTTTTAAAGGTTATGAGAGCAATTTTACACTCTCACATTAAGAAGGGTTAATGTGAGAATCGAAGTAATGACTTGCGCAATGCTTTTGTTTAACTTTTTGCGGCAGTAGGCTCCGTCGAAGTTACCATTTAGAATATTTTTAGCATTAACTGATATTTATGACAAGTTAAAAACTGTTAATGTATATAATTAGTAATGTACGTTATATATAGTTCAATACTAGGCCTGCTATTGTCTGGAATGTCAAACTACTATCAAAAAACAAGGCTTAAGTTGACCATGTGACTATTAAGATCAGAACTTACTAAAAGGAAAATGACAAAAGCAATTGTCTCCACTTTTAAAATTCTATCATTCTGCAAGAAACGCATAAACGTCTAAGTCAATTTGATGATTAATGCACTTGTCAACAAGCGCTTTGACAGTTGCATTATGGGCTTCTTTATCTCTCCACTTGAGGAGACAAGAGAATATCCTATCTCTTTCTGTTCTCTCGTCGGCAGTTGCATAGAAGATCTCTCTATTCTTTAATCCAAGACTACGTACGAAGCTTTTCCAATCAGCTCCAATATTTCCAGAAAATGTGTTTAATTCAAGCTCACTGACTAATCTGTCTAGATTACTTTTTCTCAGTTGCATTGATTGCATTGGTTGAATGTTTTCGGGCGAGGCTGGAGACTCTGTAAATTAGACAATAATTATTGCAATGCACTAATTCAACATTACATCAATCTATGAGATAGATGATCTTAAAACCTAATGTTACCTAGTAATGCGGCACTTTTATAATCTTGACCAGATAATAAATATATGTATCCACGGGTGGCGCCAGTGGTCCCCTCCTAACTCCCCTTGGGGAGAAAAACAAATTAGTATAAAAAGGCTTTGGTAACATAGTTTCATCTGCTGTTGACAGTTTCGCTTGTTTTCAGTCCGGCTTTGTCAGAATCTGCGGTGGTTTCCGCAGACGCTCGAAGGTAGCGTGCTGCTCCAGTCGTCTTTACGGAAACCCACCACAGATTCTAACGAAGCCTTACTGATATCAACAGCAGAAAAAAAAAACACTAAGTAAAAATTAGTTTAACACAAGGAATTATTTTTTGATTTAAGAGGCTTCTTATCCAGCTCATGTTTCTTAATTTTTTTTTATATGTCTACTATTTAGTTGTTTGATTTGACCAAATAAATAATAGTGGGACGTCTTTAACCAACCTGCTGAAAATAGTCTTTTGAGGCGAGACGTATTCATTGCCATTTTTCCACATCGAACCTTCTTCTTCAAGCAATCCTCAAGACCATGCAAATGAGGTTGCTCCGTTGGTTCACATTCACTGCACAGGACGCGCAACTTGTAGCCAATCCCTTCTGTTGTGACACACACTGTTTTCAGTTGATATCTGAGGTAATCTAATACCTACACATTGAACAGTTTGCACGTATTATTTACGATTGTGTTGTGGAAAGTTAATTGTGCCGTTTAGCAGTGACCTTGAGTTTTTACAGTAAGTAATGTTTTATAGTTTATAATTAAAGGTGGAAGTATTTCTGCAATATGTTAACAACTGAATCTTGCATGTTTTGCTTTTGCTTCCTTGGAATGAGCGGAAAACCATGCTTTATTAGCCTCATTTACACACTTACTATTAAAATGTATAACCTCAATATTAAGAAACCTATCTATCTTTGGTCAATATCTTAGTTCAACCATTATATCATATACTTACCTCGATACAGAAAATTGAATGAGGTTCAACTTTGACATGTTTACCATTTTCATCTTTTTCAATTTTAGCGATATTTCAAGCTATAAAAAATAAATATTTTATTTTATTGATACCCACTAATGTTACAGAGGAACTATTTATTGTTTCATAGTAGTAAATCCCAAAATTCATTTTAAAAAGAAGTAGGCTCGAAAAAAAGCCCATCTAAGAAAGAAGCCCATCCAAAGTTCGCAAAAAAAAATAGATAAACACTAATGTTACAGAGGAACTATTTATTGTTTCATAGTAGTAAATCCCAAAATTTATTTTAAGAAGAAGTAGCCTAGAAAAAAAAGCCCATCTAAGAAAAAAGCCTATCCAAAGTTCGCAAAAAAAAAAAGAAAAAAAAAAAAAAAAAAAAAAAAAAAAAAAAAAAAAAAAAAGAAGAAGCCCAAAAAATAATAATAAAAGGAAACTGATTTCAACTTATTTGTTTAGGTATGGGTACTAGAATACGCCAATAAAAAGTAAAGTGAGATATGGGGCAGGGAAATTATATTTTGAGGTTAAGGTCATTACCCTAGCCTAGAACACTAAAAATATTTTCTCGTGAACATGCTATGGTATATGTTGATCTTAAAATACAACAGGACCAACTTAATCAATTTTAGACCTTAAGAATTGTTGTTTTTAACGGCATATATTATATCATTTTAAAATCTTACCATTTCAAGGCTGGTGTCAAACAGTTAAGTAAAGTTAAAGTACAAATAAGTATATTGATTAGGAATAATCATTACAGCCTAAAACCTACTGTAACTATAGATAAAACAAACTATTAACAAATAAGTAACAAAATCATTGAAGAATTTCATCTGGTTCTGTATAAATTACAGCTTGATTATTTTTTCATTTTTTTTTTCCAACTACTGAGATAATAATAATAATAATAAATGTTACCTCAGTGACGTTTCTGGTCCAATTAGGTACCTTTCCTCAGACTGATTACATGTTGGAATTGGTCTTATCCCGGCGTTGATGTTTAGTTACGCCCTCTAACGTCTGGTGTTTGAGGGTAGAACCAAAGAGTATAAAACTGCAAGAGGTCCGACTGCCCTTATTTTGTATACAGGCAATAGAACGTTAAAAAGTACTCCCACGAAGGGGCGTGTCCTTCATAAGAACGTAAAAGGCGTTCGCATCGAACGCGTGCTGCGTTTCGAATTTCAGCATACATTCTATAGACGCGCAGCACGCGTTCGATATGAACGCACTTCACGTTCTTTTAAAGGCCACGCCCCTTTTGGTTAGAACTTTTTGAAATAGGATTGCGTTCCAAAGAATCCCCTGCAGTCGGACCTCTTGCAGTTTCATATTCTTTGGTAGAACGTTCCCCTCGGCTCCCTGTCTTTATGTGCTGATTTAATGTTCGCAGAAACCGTGTGCCTTTTCAGGATAAGAGAAGTCCTCATCTTTTCAAGTTAGATTTCGCGGCCGATGCATTCTTTAACATGAATGTCTCGTCATTGTCGATGATCTTACAATCGTGAGCCTTGGCGATATTCTTTAGACCAACGTTAAAGGAATTTACTCGTTGTTGGGTTACATTTATCATCGTTTCTTGGGCACTCCGTTGATATAATTACATTTGTCTTTGGAGATTCTGATTTGATTTGTTGTACCAGGTCGTCGTATTGTTTAATGCTATTCGAAAAGCTCTTGTCTGACGCATAGTTGTTTGTACCTACGTGCAATATAATGGTTTTGAAAGGGGAGTTGGCTTTGTCCGCTAGGCTTTCTTTTACATCTTTGATCTAATGCACTTCACTTCGGCGTTGTTCAGACCTCTATCTTTTATATCACGGATAATTAAATCTCCAATTATAAGCGTGTTTCTGATTTTACTGTTCTCTTTTTTTGCATCCACAATCGGTTTCTGACTTGATCTGCTTGTTACCTTGTGTGTAGTAGTAGGCCTACTATTTGATGAATTTTTTGGTGAGAGAGACATAGACATAGGCATACTCTTTATTTGATCCATTTTTGGAAATTACATAGCCCGTACGGTTATCTCATCTATCTTATCTATTTTTCATTATACAGTTTAATTCCTCTAGGAATGAAAGACTGAGGGTGACGGTTCGTGTTGGCGACCGGTACCCTAAGTCTACCACTACGTTCTATAATGCTTCTTACGACCACCGGATGGAGGGGGTGACTTATATCATTCAGCACCTCCTCAAACTTGATCGCCAGTCGCTCGTAGTAGACAGAGTGTAACGATCGCAAAGGCGAACCAATCAACCTTTCAGCTTTACGGATAAACTTATGCAACGTTTCCCAATCCCCTCCCGAAACGTTTCCACCCCAGCAAATTAGACAATAGTTCAAAACCCCCATAATAACAGAATTAAAAAAGATCTCAAAATATTCTCACAAACATTAAATGGGAGTGATCCTCCTGGATCAGATTGATTGTTACAATTGATCTCAGATGCACATTTACATGCAGGCTGAGCTAAAACACCTCAAATCTTTTTTTCTTATCTCTTGTAGTGAAACCACCACTTTTATTTATCACACAAAAAAAAAACATTCCATCAAAACAACACAAGATTCAAATCAAATTCAATAAAATGACCGAACATCATCAATAAGTGTATTTTTTTTCAACGTTAATATTTTCACCTTTTTAAGTATTTTTTAAAATTTACTTTCTATTATATTTTTGATTTGTATTGTTAATTTATTGGTTTTTTACATCAGTGATACAGAAAATCATGGCACCAAAATTCCTACAGCCAAATACAGTATATGAATGTTATCTATGCGTATCTAAGAAGTCGTACAAACACTTTAGATCCCTGGATGCAACAGATCGAAATATCTTATTATTGCAGTTGATCCTCCATTTTATCTCGGCGATAAATAGAGCAAATAGAGATCTACTATCCCACTGGTCATTTTCTAATAGAATTTTTCTCTTGTAAATGCTAAATGCCCCCATAGATATCAACCAATTAACAAGCCTATTTTGACATCCCAAGATAATAAGTTTAAAGTTGACTTCAATGTTACAAAAATTTGACATAATAGTATTGATTTTATTCCAAAAAGTATTAACTTCACTACAGGAAAAAAAAGATGTTCATCATCTTCAGGAATTTTGCAAACTGTACAAACATCAGTTGCTTTTATTTTCTATTTAAATAGCCTCTGGTTTGTTGGGATAATTCTATGTAAAAGTTTTAGATTAAATTGAGTAATTTTGAATTCATCAATTAAATGAATTTTGTTCTTCCATGCAATTGACCAGTTATCAACATTGAAATCATCTTCCCATCTGCTCTGAGAGGATTGAATAGCATAAACATTTGATACAAAGTGATTATAAACAATTTTTGTTTTGACAGTCTTAAGCACATTATTTTGCTGTAATGTATCGAGGGCAAGTGCATTTCCTTTATATGAATTAATACAATTTTCCCAGTGTTTTGGAATAGCATTTAAGATGTTCAAATATTCAATCATTCAATTGGCATTACCCTTAAGTTTACTAACAATTTCCGGGTAATTTTTCCATGTATTAACCATGAGAATATCGTTAATGTTCATGAATCCAGAGTCGATCATTGTTTATACCAGATAGATTTCATTCTACACTTAATCAGACAATTACACCAAATATTTTGTTTGATAATATCTTTATAGTTAATGGGATTACTTTGATTTATAACATTAAATTCTGACAATGAGAGTAAAACGTCTTTGTAAAATTGTGGTATCTTTATCTTTGTATTTTTATCTAACATATCAACACTTGTTATTTTACAGAGTAAGTTATCAGGACCAATCTTTGAAAGATACCATCTTGGAATAACTTTCCAAAAACCTTCTTCGGAATGAAGAAGTCGTTTGTACCATGCGTATTTTAAGGCTTTTACTTGTGATATGAAGTCTGGTAGTTTAATACCTCCTTGTGAATAGTCACCAATCAAAGATACTCTTTTGATCTTTGCTTTTTTACCGTTCCAAATAAAATCTGCTATTAGCTATCAATCTGTTTAACATAATCAGGAGTTTCAATCACACTTGCATTATAGATTATTTTTGAAAGTCATAACGTTTTTATGATTGTTACTTTTCCAAATACTGTAAGGTTTTTTTTTCCATTGCTTTAACACTTTTTCTAAATTAACCATCTTTGCGCCCAATTGCGTACTGCACAATTTGCTTTGTCATAACCAATGTAAATTCCAAGTGAATTCAATTCTTTTACCCAATCTAAATTAAAAGGTTTATCAACATTATTTCTCAAAGATCCCAACCACATTGCCTTAGTCTTATTAATATTAAGCTTCATATTGGAGTGTTTACAAAAAATATCAACAAGGTGTAAGGCTCTTTCTATGCTATCTTTGTTTTTTGCAAAGATAATTGTGTCATCTGCAAGTTGTGATATTTTCGCCTGTATATTGTTATCTGTTGGAAGACTAATACCTTTAAAAAATTCATCATTTCTAATGTTTGTAGCCATAATCTCAACAACTATTATAAATAAAAGGGCAGATAAAGGACAACCCTGTCTTATGTCTCTATACATTTTGAAACTACTGGAAATCCATCCATTATTACTAATATTACATTCAGAGTCTTTATATAAGGTAATTACCCAATGAATAAATGATTCACCAAACCAGCATGTCTTAAAACAGCTACCATGAAGTTTCTGTCAACAGAATCAAAGGCTTTGTGAAAATCTAATGAGAAAAGAACACCTTCTTTGTGTACTTATTTACAATAGTGCATGATATCTTCTACAAGCCTTATGTTCTCACCTATAAATCTGTTCTTTATGTATCGTTTTTGGTCAGTACTAATGATTGATTTTATTACAGTTTGTAGTCTACAAGATAATGCATTGGCAGCAATTTTATAATCAGTATTCAGCAGTAAAATTGGCCTCCAGTTTTCTAACAATTCAGGGTCACCCTTTTTATATAACAAGTTGAGCATTGCTCTTCTCTGTGAGCTTTCAACTTTCTTAGACGTATAACTATAATTCAACGCATTA